GATTGAAATAAATGCTCAGACACACAAGCCCTCAGAAAAATTTATTGCCCACTCTCTGATGGAGAAGGGAGGGAAAACAAAAGAAAACCTACCAAGGATGTACTCCAGTAAGAAGAAAAATGTATATAAAAGGTAATCATGGGCTATCAGCAGTAAATGGGAAGGTATTTGTGTCTTATTTTTATAATTAGAAAGTAATCTTTTTTCAAAGGTTTGGGAGAAAAGAAGGTAGGAAAACTTAAAATTTAATTCCTTACCTTTATTTCCATCCCATTTTACCTTTGCATAATATCTCATTAGAGTTTACAAAATGCTTGCAGATAAATTGTCAGTAGCCAGAATCATAGGACCTACAAAAAGTATCATTTTAAGAGGAAACTATGTTAGGACAAATATGAATTCCAATATAACCTGGAGATGCAATCTCTAAGTCTAATAATATACTTCTTGCCATGGAAACTGGCTGCCTTCTACAACCATCATTATGATGATGTCAGTGGGTCTAAAGAGTATTGATGAACATGAGATTTTGTAGACTGATTTTTTTTCTTACTCTGCCTACCAAGTTGGACTAGATTATGGATTGGTAGACAAGGAAATGAGTGGAGGTAGGAACAATAATATTTCAGACCAGCCAATGCACTCCATGGTATGTCCAGGCTCTGAAGTTTGTGGACCAGAGGACTTTGGCTGCCAGGGTGTGACAAGAGGGCCACCGCTCTGCCCAGGAGACCCTCTAATGGCAAATCTTAGGCTCCCCAAAGGCTTCTCTAGAGAGGCTCATTGGTGCCATTGCCTATGTCATAGGCCATGAATTTAGGTTTTGGAATCTCTCACCTGAACTTTCTTACGCCATCCCTAGTGTGTGCCAGAAAATGAGCAGCTGCCAAAAAAGCAGACATTTTCCTGTCTCTAAAAATAAAACACTGGCAACACTTCAGGCTCCCGTGCCAGGACCTGGCCCTTCCTGGAATAAACAATAGGTGGCCAAGCTGATCGGAGGCAAATACTGAGTCCTGAAGTTGGCCTAAGTATGGCCTGAAATGCCCAGGTCAAGGCAGGTGCAGCCCTAAAGCCGGGAAGCCAGGAGGGGCCCTCCCTCCTAGGCAGCCAGGGCCCAGGTGTGGCTGAGAGGGGAGGGCCTCGGGTCACACCACAGAACTTGACCCAGTTGAGGTCACAGAGCCCCCACCAGGTCCTATCTGTGGCCCCCTGGGGTACACAGTGACAAGTCTGAGAGCCTGTGAGACCTGTCCAGAGAACACTCCCTGCGAAGCAAGGAGTTTCCTAAGCATCCCTGATTCTTCACTAGGGCTGTGCTCATCCCTTGTTCAAACCTCTCACGCCCAGCGGAGAGCCCTCACCTGCTAGACACAGGCCCAACAAAACCGCCTTGGGATAGGAATGCCATAATAACAGGCAGCGTTCCCACTCTAATTGCCTCCGAACACGGCAAATGCTGCTACAGTCCATGTTCAAGCTCCCGTGCCTTGTCATTAGGGTTCAAATCTTCCTAGACCATAAGTTTGGCTTTTTGCTGGTTTGGGGACTTAGGAAGGTTAAGAGGGAGTTAGGGGAGGAGAGGGGGCCTAAATATAGCAAATATTTACAGGCATAATTACTCCATAAACATGCTTCAGTGGAACAGTGTGTAGGGTCGACCCAGATGACAGATGTCACTCACCCGAGTGTCACATCATAAATAAAACTGAATGAGCCCATTCTCCCACAGAACCCAGGTGACGCCTGCTCACACTGTAAATATTTAGGAAGTCATTGTCCTTCAAAGACTTTATTTTTCTAGGTAAGTAGACTTTAATGAAAAAATTAAGCAGGGCTTTTCCTGCAAATATGGAATAGTCGCTGTAGCTTTTCAATGGGTATTCCATGGAAAGGAAAAGAAAAAAAGAAAGAAGAAAAGGAAAAGCAAGCCCCAGGTCCATGAGGCTGCCGCGCAGAGCTCTCATTTATGCCAGTCAAGGTTCATTCTCATTCAGAAAGTGACAGCTTTCTCTGGAGTGGCAGAAACCAGAAGGATCACTATCAGTCCCTGGCCTGTGTAATGAAGGGAGCACAAGCAGATCCTTGTCACCCAAATTCTGACCCCTCCCACCACCTCTGCTAGGAGAGACATTCTCCTTAGCACTCATCACTCTCTCAGCCTGTCTCTTAGTAACAGAAAACATGTACACCTCACCCCATTACCGTGCTCATTTGAAAAGAATTTGCAAAATGCGAGGATATGTGTCTGGGTGTCTCTGTGGGTGTTTATGCAATGAAGTCCACCACTTGTGCCTTAGCTGCTAGTCCTGACTGCATTATGAATGGCACTTCAGAATCCCCCCAGCATGACGAGCTTCTCCCTGTGCTCAAGGACTGGCGCAAGCAGCAAACACCCCTTGGGTGCCCAGGAGGCTCCAAGGCACCGCTGCAATCTTGCTGCCACCTAGAACTCCCAAGCCATTGTCTCCACTACAGTATGTGCTAATTTTCATGTCTCCTTGCAGCTTCCATGTTATTGATCTCCTAAATGCACCAAAGCCCTCGCCCAAGTCCACCAAGCCTGCTTCCTTCACAGGGATGGCCTTTTTGCTTGGGCTGTCTTCTCTTCCAAACCCCTCAGGTGGCCCCTGCCCCATCAGACTGAATTGGCCCAGATGGGAAAAGTTGATGACAGCCTCCAGCAAGTCTTGTTCCACAAAGAACAAGAGTCTCTGCTTTTGTGAAATGAGTCACAGGCTGCCTTGACTGTGCCTATCTGGGGAGGCCAGGGCTGCCATGTATGGTCTGTGCTCTGTGCCACCCACCTCTCCATGTCAGTCCAAGTTCTTTGCCAGGACAGCCTGAGTCATAAAACTCAGCACATTCCTTAGGCGTTGGATAGTCTTTCCTTGTTATTACTTTGCTTTTGTTTTAGGCAGCACCTGGTTTCATTTTAAAAACCCAAATAAAAATCACACGGTCAGGGAGGGGGTGGGGAGATAGGGAGAGAAGCAAAGAAAAAGAAAGAAGGGGGGCTAGGGGAAGGAAGAAAGGGCTGGAACTCCCCAAACAGGCAAGACTTAGAACAAAACAGAGCTGGAACTGCAGGTGAAGGGCAGGAGGCAGTGAGCACTGGTCACAAATGAGAGTTTGACCAAGTCCTTTTTGCTGTATATGATAAAGCCAGGTCTCCTCCCCACCCTCCCATCCCCAAATTAGGGCCAGTAACTTAAAGAGTCACTGCTGTACTCACAAGCCATGTGACCTTCCCTATGCCCCTCCACTTTCTGAGTCTCCCCAATAAACCGACAGACTTATCTTGATGAATTCTAAGCAACACTCCAGCTATAACAGTGGGATTCTATGAACCTGCCACTTCCCTTTTCTTGGGCCACAAACCCTACCCCACGTGTAAGGGAATATTTTTCCACAAGCTAACATTTGTTCTTTGCCTTTGGGGGTTAAGGAACAGGGACAGATGCAAGGGAGAAGAGGCAGACCCGACCACACCAATGCTGCTGGTTAAATTGAATTTTTGTGGCCAGGTTATTTTTGTAAAGATGTTAAACATTGCTTTTTAGAATTAAAACAGGATTCTAATAGGCTGTGCCTTGCCTACAGTAAAAAAACAAATAATGAATGAGTGATAACCACTGCCACGGAGAACCATATTTTCTCTTGGACAGTTGGAGTGGTAAAGCGTAGAAATTACAGCCTCAGACCGGGATCCTTAGGTACTAGACTCAGAACTTAAACACAGGCCTTTCCCTCCCTCTGCCTGGGGCTCTCCAACGACGCGGCTGGCCAGGGTAAGAGTCCTGGCGGCTCCCGAGTGGCTCCGGGGCTGCATTTTCAATGCACGGTTTTGGCGAGCTTAATGGAAACCATACGAAGGGCTGCCGGGAGTCAGACCAGATGGCTCCCCGGGAATGTATTTAACCCAACCTAGGGCTAAAGGACAAAAACAATCGCTAGGAGCTTGGGGGGCGCGAGGTAAGGGTGGTGGCAGTGCGACTTTTAATTATCTTTTCGATTCATGAGAAACCCTAAGAGAAGGACGGTCTCGGTAAACGGGGGGGCACGGGAGCGGGGGACAGAAGGGGCGCAGAGCGGGATCCGGGAGAAGAAGGGGCAGGAGGCGGCTACTTCCCAAGCCACACACTGTCCCTGCCGCCCCTCCCCAGACAGCGGCTGCCGGGTCCCCGGCTGCCCGGACGGCGGCGGGCTCCTTCCCGCGGCCCGGGTCACGGCGCAGCCTCGGTCGCTCCCTCCCTCCCTCCGGCGAGCTCGCCGGGCGGGGGCGGACAGCGGGGGCGCTGAGTGGGGACCCACAGCCCGAGGAGGACCGAGGATGCGGGGGAGGAGGGTCGAAGGCGGGGGTGGGGGAGCGGGGGGAGCGGAGGCGGGCCGTGCAGGGAGGAGGGGGATCTCCAGGGAGCAGGAAGAGGAGGACCGTGGGGGGAGGGGGAGGGCGAGGGGCGGGGCCCGGCGGGCCGTGGGCGGGGCCCGGGCGAGGGCGGGGCCGTGGGCGTGTCCGGGCGCGCGCAGCCTCCCGAGCGGGCCGGGCGTGAAAGGCCGCGACTCCCCGCCCCCGGCCCCGGCGCCCGCCGCGCTCAGGTCGCCGCCGCGCGCCCCGCGGTCGGAGCCAATTTGCTTCCAGGCCGCGCCTTGCACGGAGGAAAACCTGGCGGTGGAAGGCTCCGGCTCTTCCGGGTGATTGCTCCGAATACCAAAAGGCCTTTCTCACGCCCCCGCGCCCTGCCCCGGGGCTCCAGGACACCGAGGGTTGGCGCTGTGACGCCGCAGTCCGCGACGGTCGCGGCCGCGACACCGTTTCTTGGTTGTTGCCGGGAAATGTGGCTGCAGGCACTTATGAAAAGTAAAACTAAAACTTAATGATTGTAACAACTTTTGTCCCCCTCCTCCAATTAAAAAGGGACAAAATGGAGGCATGAAGCGCAGGGAAGTGTCCAAGGAAGCCGGCCTGCCGAGGGCCAGGTGTCCCCGGCCCCTCATACCTCAGACAGTCGCTCCTCTCAGGCAAGCTCCGGGCCGCCAGCTGTGTGGCTACGTTTTCCAAGTCAGCTAAAAAAACGATAACGGTCCTCCCCGGTAGTAATCGGAGTATGGATCAATTTCTGAGTCGTCGGATGAGCCAGCCTTGCTTTCAGAATCGCTCTGTCCCCGAAGCTGGAGAAAAATGGCCTGGTTGTCAACACGCACTCATCCGCAAAGGTCACTTTTCCACAGAATTGGGAATTAAATTGCCTCTTCCAAACCAGACATCATTCATGAGCAGCAGGTGGGATTTGCTCCCGCACTTTCTCCCATCTCTTTTAACCAGGAGAGGGAGAAGGGCGAGGACTCTGCAGTCACTCGGCCCCACTGCTGCGGTGCCCCGCATTCACCCCCCACCATTGCTTTAGCGCCCACATTCCTGGGTGTAAATTCCCTGCTTTTCAGTTTACACCATCGACTTCTTCAGGATGGGACACAGGAATATAGATATCTAGAGAATGGTTACAGGGGCGCTAGACACCGAGCAGATACTTTTTAAAGTAAAAATACTGTTAATAACGACTGAATATTTCATTCGATCCCTACTTGTTGCTGATGCAGGAATTTGCACGTTTTAAAATCTCAGTGATTGCTCTCCTTCCCTCAAATATATCATCAATTAAAAACAATAAGATTTGCCTTGGCTCAAAAATAAAAAGTCATGATTTATTTTGTGGTCGGGACTCTAGGTCCAAGGTTTCCCAAATAAGTGTCCCATATTGTTGGGGGGGTGTGCGCGTGCGTGTGTGTATACACTTTTAGCCTGTTACTGCATTACACAAACAAGAGCAGGATGTAATGTCACTTGTTTTCGGGAATGCTTGACTTAAAAAGAGGCTACTGTGAGTAGAGAGAAATCCCTTTCAGGGAGGGTTGGGGAAGCACCTTAGAGAGGCAACTGTTCCGGAGAACAGCTGCGGACACTGATTGGCAATGGAATCGCTTGGCACCAGCACAACTCCATGTAGTAACAGGGATTTATTTATTTAATGATAGTTAATGATTCTCCCTAGTAACTTCCAGGAGGCCAACTAGGAGTAAATATACTTTCAGGAAATCATCTCCTGTTCCTAGAAGCAGGCAGCAACCCTATAGGGAAGGGAGGTCCCGGGCTGCCCACACAATATGATTTTCAGTGGACTGCACAGCTTCAGATGCCCCCAGATAACTCCCTCCACTGTCGGCCACAGCACCGCCTTCCCTGCCTGACATGCTCCCTGGGAAAGTTACCAGGTCCTGAGGCAGAAAGGTCAAGAAAAAGCGCACCATTTCTTCGGGTCCACCATTAAAATAGACTAGTTGCCTGGGAACCAAGGTGGGCCATCTAACCCTGTCCCATTAGCTAAATTGATCAGATCGCTAGTTGGTGCCCACAGACAAGCATTTTCAAAGTGACATATACACATAACTGGTGGTTCTTGAGATGATGTTAGGTGGTACTTGAACAACATTTTCTATGTTATTCTCTAGGTCAGGGTTGTTTTTCTTTTCTCCTTCCTAATACACATAACTGGCATATCAAACTGATGGTATCGGAAATATAATTACTTAGGGTGAGTTTGAGTTGCTTTTTTTTAAGTCAATTTAAAGAGAAATATTAATAAACAAAAGTAATTGGATAGCAAAAAGTTGTGATTTTTATAATAAATGAAGTGGGAGGACAGAAACCAGTTTGTTTTCAGAGTATCTGCCAGAATGCTAAGACAGAAGAATCCCATTTTAACAACCTGTTGAAAGCTACTGGGTTTTAAGAAAGTCTGATCAAGCAAGACAGAACTCTTGGTCTGGAGGGCCACATTAGGGGAAACAGGGACAGTAAACCCTGGGTGGCAGCACAGGTACATGGGGAGGGAGACTCAGGACACTGGACACCCAGGGCCGGTCCCTGGCAGACAGGACAATCTGAGAACTTACTGCCTTTTTCCCAAGAGGTAGAATCCAACAACTCAGTAATATCACTGATAGAAAGTTGGACAATACAACAGGAATTCCAATCCCTGTAAGCCTCTTTGAGACTTGTTTCCAAAATGCCTGGAGAGATCTTTGCAAGAAACTGTCCTGATGCTTTAAGGGAGGCTGCTTATCTTATCAGAACAGCTATACTTTTCACCTGATTATAAATTAGGGAATATTTTTATACCAACTCTAAACACATACACAGGCCACCATGCAGAGACACCCTGAAGCCCACCTCCTGGCTTTCCCCCAGGGATCCCCTGGTTGGATAACAAGTAAAAATATTCTTACCCGATTTAAGATGTCTTTCCCTAGTAGTCTGTAATTCATCAGGGTCCCAAACGCTGGCTTTTTAAGTCTCACAGCTGTAGTGAAGAGACAGCAAATGTGTAAGTGTTTCTGGCAAACAGAGTCTACCATAGTGTGAATAAATAAAATATACCGACATTCTAAAACCTATTTTTAAAATCACTTGTTCTAAACCCTCACATACACACCCCCACCTCTGTCACCACCACGAGTAGCAAATGTCTCTGTTGGATTTCTCCCTCCTGTTATTTCTGCATCCTATCTTCCTTACTGTTAAGAGAGATACAATGAGGTGACACAGTGGGTGGCAGGTGGGAGGGAGCAGAAATGCAAAAGGCCTTATGGCCTCAGGCTCTGGAAGGGATGAAAAATCACATAAAGATCATGATTAAAATAAAGAAAGAAAATGCATATAAAGTAGTAGTTTAGAGTGGGACTTACATGAATTTTCATAATTTGGATGTGTCCGAGACAAATCACCAAAGGTCCAAATTTGGTGTGCCTGTAAAAAGGAGGGAAATAAATACCAACCACTTTCACAATAATAGAAGCCTAATAAAATTCCTTTTCCGGTGTTATCCCCTGCTTCCCCCCCATGCAAAAAGCACTTTTATGCTGCTGTCAAAAGCCACTGCTGTGGGTGTGGTGGCTGGAGCCTATAGTTCCCGCTACTCTGGAGGCTGAGGCAGGAGGATCTCCTGAGCCTAGGAGTTGGAGCAATACAGTGAGACTCAGTCTCTAAGGAAAAAAAAAAAAAGCCACCACTGTAGTAACAGACAATAACAGTAAAATGGAAAGACAAATTTGGGGGAAATATTTATGAAATAGGCTAGGCAAAAGAGTACAATCCTAATATCCAAATAGTGTATGCAAATCAGTTAAGTAAAAGCTAAACACCCTAATAGGAAAATGGACAAAGGAAATACAGTCATTCCTCATTATTTATGGATTCGTATTTGTGAATTCACCTACTTACTAAAACTTATTTGTAATCCCAAAGGCAATGCTCAGAGCACTTATGAGGTCATTTGCAGACATGTACAGACTGGCAAAAGTTTGAGTCACCTGACATGCCCTTTCCCAGGTGATGTCAAACAAGGTGAACAAGCCCTTCTTGTTTCAGCTCTTGTACTGTAATCAGGTGTCCTTTCTGCAGTCCTTTTTGCTGGTGCCACATTTTCCACATTTGTATGGGTTCTGTTAGTGATTTAGCTGTTTAAAATGCCCCCCAAGCATAGCACCGAAGTGCTGTCTAGGGTTCCTAAGCACAAGAAGGCTCTGATGTACCTCACAGAGAAAAGATGTGTGTTAATTAAGCTCCACTCTGGCATGAGTTATAGGGCTGTTAACCAGGAATTCAATGTTCATAAGTTAACAACATATATTAAATGAAATTTCTTTAAATAGAAACATACATAAAAACAAAGTTACATATTGATCCTTTGACAAAAATGTTGTGATTGGAGGCTCCCAGGAACTTAACCTTATATTTCCTCTAGGAGCAATGGTTCAGTAGTCCTTAATTCAGTGTTCGTGGTGACATTACAAAATGTAAGTACTGTGACTAACAAGAATCACCTATGATTGATATACAATTCATGAAAGACTATGAATAACTAATAAACATAAGAGAAGATGTTCAACCTCACTAATAAAGAAATTAAATGAAAAAAATGAAATACCTTCATCTATCAAATTGGAAAACAGTAAGATTATTTTTTAAAGCCAGTGTTAGAATATAGGAAAACAGTCCTGTGCTGCTGGGGCACGAGGCCAACTTTTTGGAAGGCCATATGTAAATTAAGCATACCTTCTGACCCAAGCATGCTTAGGAGAATGTACCCTGAAGAGGTGATTTTATAATTGCAAAAATGTATATTCAAATTTTATTAATCACAGCATTGTTTATAATAGTTATAAATCTGAAAAACTTAAAGCCTGGGAATATGGGGTATGTTAAAATTATGAGGAATATTATGTATCCATTAAAGGTGATGACAAATAATTAATGCTTATTAACACTGAAAGATGTCCATGAAGATATTGAGATAAAAAGCAGATTACAGAGGACAATGTCCGGTGTGATCTCACCCATATACGGCATGTGTATGTGCCTGTATCGTTGTATATATGTAAGTATGGAGAGATATTTGTAAGGATTTTCGCTAAAACAGAAATGGTGATTATCCCTAGGAAAGGGAAAGGATTTCAGAAGATTTTTAGTTTTGTTTTTATTTCTCTGTATTTTTTGTAAGTTTACAATCAGAGAAAAGCTGTTTTTGTTAATTGTCAATATATTACATATAATTGCCATGCATGAGAAAGAGGAAAAATTGGTAACTAAGATAAAAACACAGCATCACCAGTTGTTCACAGTTTGTAACCTTGGCTTTCTTTGTTTCCCCATCCCCTATTAGAAAACTACACGCATAATAAGCACTCAGAAATAAATGTCTGATGAATATTATTTTAAAAAATTCCAACCCCTTTTGTTTTGTTTTTAATGAGTAATATGCAGTGTGCAATCACTTAAGCTCTGTGCAGGGAAATGATCCCTGAGAAATGTTGGACTTACCACTTCATGTTTGACATCAAATGATGTTTTAAAGGGTTTGGTTATATTAGGAAATAGTCCTGCATGCAAATAAAGAGGGAACATCAAGATTAACCATAGTGTTAGAATAAAATTTCTTACACTCCCAATTAGGCTATTACCAACAAATTAGACACACATTAACATCTGACCAAAAATTACAGCTTTATAGTAGGTATAAGTGTTGATGTTCTATAGCGCTGTAGGGTGTCTATAGTTAACAATAATTTATTGTATATTTTCAAATAGCTAAAAGAGAGCATTTTGAATGTTCCCAACACAAAGAAATCATAAGTGTTTGCAGTGTTGAGGTGATGGATATGCTGATGACCCTGATTTGCTCTTTACACCTTATATATTATACATGTTTTGAAATATCACACTATAGCCCAGAAATATGTAAAATTATTACATGTCAATTAAGAATAATATTTTTTTAAACAGTAAGCATTAATCAGGTAAGATGAAATTATGATTAAAAGTTAAATTTGTAGTAAACCTTCTGGATCTTTTGGGAGGGTAAACATTTTGTGTCTGGAACATTCTTCTATGATACACAGATTACCTCTTAGAATCAGAGGATCAAGACTATACTGAAATTCCAAGGCTATAAATTGTTATTAAGGTCTTGAGAAACATAGGTACATTTTTTAACAACTTACTAAGGTATAATTTATATACCATAAAATTGATCCACTTCACATGTACAGTTCAATGATTTTAAGTAAATTTACCAAGTTATGCAACCATCACCACAATCTGTTGTTAGTGTATTTTCATCCCCACAATACAATCCCTCATGCTCTTTAACAGTTAATCCCCTTTCCTATCATCAGCACCAGAAAACCACTAATCTTTTCTTTCTATATAGATTTGTCTTTACTGGATCCACCATATAATTGACTCATGTACTATGTGATCTTTCATGTCTGGGTTTTAAACTTAATATAATGTTTTTGAAGTTGAGGTACATTAGCTGTTTGAGTATTTTGTTCATTTTTTTTTTTTTTTTGCTGAATAGTATTCCACTGTATGAATATACTCGATTTTGTTATTCATTCACCAGTTGATGGACATTAGTGTTGTTTCCAATTTTGGCTACTATGGATTATGCTGCATTGAACATTCACGTGCAAGTCTTTGTGTAGACATAGGTTTTCATTTATCTCAGGTAAAAATAACCCAGGTGTGAAATTGCTGGATCCTATGATTAATTTATGTTTAACTTTTAAAGACCACCAAAGTGTTTCCCAGCATGGTTGTCCTATTTTACGTTCCCATCAGCAATGAATGAAGTTTCCAGTTTTTCCATATTATCATTTGTATTGTCTGGTTTTGTGATTACAGCCATTCTAATGTACATGAAGTGATATGGTGTTTTTAATTTGCATTTCCCTGGTGACTAAGAATGTTGAGTTCTCTGGTGTATTTTTATTAAAATTTAGGGGGGAAATGCTGAAAGGGTGTCTTCCTTTATATAATATGATAGACTCCAGTCACTTGGGATGAGTCAAGGGAGAGAAATAGCCTTTGACAAATATTCATTGTTATGTATGCTATTTCATGTAACAAACTTCTTGTAAACATAGTATCTTAAGTTAGAGTCAAAAAGCTTAACAATTATTTAGCTACATTTAAAAAACCCCACTTTTTCATATCTATAATAAATGCAGATAAATAAGAAGTTTATCCTGTACAATTAGGTCTGATTTTTCTATGCTGGGTGAATTCTTAGCCTTCCAAAGCTCTATAAGACTTCTGTAAATCCCATAGGCCTACCAGAGGATTAATTAGCTTTTTGTTACCCTTTCTTTCAAGAATTATGCTAGATAATCAGTAATTAGTAAATGATATGATTCTATAATATTAAAGTTTTACAGAAAGTAATTTTGAGGCATTTGATGTGTTATGGAAAAAAAACAAACCAGACATTAGAATTTGTGCTAAACCATAGCGTGAGGTATTTACACATTTGTATCCATATTTTAGCCAAACTTGGTCATTTTTCTAACTGAGCTAGGAATATCTCTTATTTTCTTTAATCTATTTATGGAGAGAAACACTAGTAAACTCACATATGTTGGAGTATGCTTAGCTAATGATTTTTCTTTGTGAGTTCACGGTTGACAAAATAGAGCCCACAGTGCAACTTGACCTTGGCAGTTTCAGCTACCCTTTTAATTAAGGACGTTTAATGTTACCCTAATTTGCTAGCATGTATCCACCTCGCTGCTTCTACTTCCGGGTCCTAGAACTATAAGCGAATTGGGTGATTTTGTTGATGAAACTAATATCTTAGTAACTGCTGACAAATTCTACCTTTAGATATTAGGTCCTTACATGTTGTGCCAACCTTGATGGAATGTTACAGGTATTTGGTTTTTAAAAATAAATTATCAAGAAAGCAAGTATAGGCTTGTGAGTGTCAGCTCTTGCAGAATCACAGAAACTCAAGTTTGGCAGTATTCTTCTAGGTCTTCTATTCTAGTCATGTAGTCCACCTCCTGGGTGTCTGTCATAGTACAACTGTCGGCCTTATTTGGGATGCAGTTTTCTTTTAATAGAGTAGGGATAATTTGAATTTCCAACTACCTATCTCTGAGTTTCTTGAAACTTTGAGTTCCTTGAAATGAAGTTTGATAAATAAAAAACATAATGGTGGAAAGGTGAAGACAAACTGTTTTCCATCTTTTTTGAGTACCATGGTCTTAAATGGTGTATATACAAAGGAGGAGAATTTAGATTAAATGTTAAACCATGGACACCCTGCAGGGATCCAAGATTTATGCGTTGCTGGCCAATATCGATGTCTTTATGGACACTTTTCTGAAGACAGGGCCTAGAGCTTTCTTCAGATTTTTCAAAGTGCTTCAAAAATATAAGGTATCACTGTCTTAGAGAGAGATGTGTTAATCGTTGGGCTGGCTAGATTATAGAACCAATCTCTTTCCTGACAGATTTTTAAGAATAAGTGATTCAATGATCTATATTAGATAAAAACTATTCTATCAATGTTAAATTTCTTGAGCGTGATAATAGTACTGTGGTTATATAAGAGAACATTCTTATTCATAGGAGAAGTATTTAAGGATATACCATTAGAGTATGTTTATCGTCCTCTCATTACACCAGCAAAGAAGTCTATACACATATCCGTATATAGAGACAGAAATAAAGCGAAATGTTAATCAATGTGGCAAAATGCTAACAACTGATGAATCTAGGAGAGAGTAGGTAGGTATTGGTTGTACTATTCTTTCAACTTTTCTATGGATTAAAAAAATTTTTTTAAGTTGTGAATAAAAGAATAAGGCACTCATTTCAATTGTTAACTTCACAATTATAAGAAAGCAGTGCTATTATCATATCTTATAGATGGCTAAAACCAGGCATAGAAAAATTACAAAAATCAGTCAGCAGCATCCCAAATTCCATGTGAGCTATAAGCAAGGACATAATTAAAACTAATGCTTCTCCCTTCTCCTATTCTCTCCTCAAGTAACTCCAGGCATCTCACAGGCAGACGCATGGTTTGTTCATATAAGCCTACTAAAATCACTGCAGTGCCCACCATCGTGCTATCTTTTAAGTTCACAGGCAAAATCAATTGCAGCCACCTCCTAGTTGATGTTATGCTTGAACAGTAAAGTGCATGCAGAACAGATGGCATCTTGTGACCTTCTTAATAACAGGCTTGGCTGCCAATGTTCCCTTGTGTCCAGTCTCTGCGGGGAATTTGGAAACTGTTGCCTTACACTTGAATATTTTCTGGCAAACACATTTAACCATTTATTAGTCTGTTTCCTAATTTTAAGTACAGCAAAACAAAACAAAACAAAATTCCCGACACCTGGAAGGGACATTGGTATTTCCTGAGTCCGGAGGTGCATCCTGGGATTCTTTGGGGTGTGCTGGCAATCTTACAGCATAGCTGTCATTTTTAGTGTGGTGAGGACCTCAATTCCAGGCACAGTGCTTATCATTCTACCCAGATTTATTGGTGGCCAGTGGGATCTTTGTTTTTTTTTTCCTTTCCATAGTTTCAAAGAAATATATGCACTTCACACAGCAGGGCATACAAATTCGCCAGAAAACAAACTAAATGCCTGTATTAGAAGGTTCCTCTGCTATGAAAGCTCACATCTGGAGTGACTGTGGGACACCTGTGGTGAGTGAGGCTTATTCTAAGTCACCTTGTTCCCCCTGCAGCACACCCTGGGCAGCGGTGGCTATGGCTGTCGGGTTCCACAGTGAAATGGGAGAAGGAGAGTGAGGCAGTGCTTAGGAGACGGAGCAGTCTGTCTGTCCGACCCCCACCCCTCAACTATCCCACAGGAGCAGCTTTCCTTTGTTGAAGGCAAGTAAGAGTGGCCCTAGGGAAAAGCAATGAAGATGATCATGCTAAAGCCTTTGGAAGCCCTCTTCTCCCCTCAACAGAATGGACCTGTTACCAGAAAGTGGTCAAATTCATCCCTTCCAGGCAACCGGTATGGGCGAGATGGGTGGAAGAAGGGCAGAAAGAACATTCCCAGTGAACAGGGGGTGGGGGTAAAAAGTGCAGCACCTCAGGTAGAAATAACTTAATTGACAGGTAGAAAATCATGTGGAGTCACACACAGAAAGAGACAGGTAAGCACTAGGCTTCTTTGTAGAGGGTAGGTGGGTGGGTTTCACTCCTAGGCATCCCCAGATAGAGTGGAGGGGACGTGTCATATTTCCTTGCTTTTACATGTTTCCTGTGTCCTTCCATTGATATCTATGCATCTGATGTAGCTGTTGCTTATTCCAATTTTTTTGAAATTTCTTTCAAAGGGAAAATTTTTTCCTGAAGATGTGTATTTGTTCATTGAATAGGACACTTTGGCTTTGACTTTGGATGTGTGCAGTAATGTGATCTTTATATGATTTCTTCAGCAGTACATAGGGTCAGTGGTATCTGTGCTTTCCTTGGTGGCTTAGGATATGGTTGTTAGTTGAGGCTGTGGTAAAGTTTTCCTGGAGATTTGGACGGTCTTCAGATCCCAGTGGTGGCAGGAGTGGG